ACTGTATATATTTTGTTGTTGTTGTTGTTGGAGACAAGGTCTTGCTGTGACTCAGGCTGGTCTCAAAACTGTGAGCTCAGGCATTCTACTTGCCTTGACCTCCCAGATTGCTAGGACTACAGGTATGAACCACTGTGCCTGGCCTCTCATTACTTTAAATATGTGTACAAGAATAGAAATTTAAGAGACTTCAAACATAAGTCTTACTAAACTGAGAACAGACAACTTTGTGGTTTTAACTAGAAATTTCCTTTTCATTATAATCAACTTAATTACATACAAATTTTTTTTTTTTTTTTGGAGCCAGAGTTGTTCTAGGTAGAGTGCTGTGGCATCACAGCTCACAGCAACCTCCAACTGCTGGGCTCAAGCGATTCTCCTGCCTCTGCTTCCAAAGTAGCTGGGACTACAGACGCCCATGACAATACCCAGCTATATTTTGGTTGCAGCTGTCATTGTTGTTTGGTGAATCTGGGCTGGATACGAACCCACCACGTCAGGTGTATATGGCTGGCACTGTAGCCGTTTGAGCCACAGGTGCTGAGCCACAAAATTCTTTTTTAATTCTTCTTCACAAACCTTCAAGACTAACATGCACCATCTTTCAGCATTTTAAAATTCCTTGCCTCAGTGGTGCCTGTGGCTCAAAGGAGTAGGGCACGGGCCCCATATGCCGGAGGTGGTGGGTTCAAACCCAGCCCCAGCCAGAAACTGCAAAAAAAAAAAAGTTAAAAGTCCTTGCCTCTTTTGGTGTCCTTTGCAGTGCATTACTGCCACCTTGCTAAGTTTCTACACAGTTTTCAATAAGTTTTATATTTCTTGGTGATACTTTGTTTTCCGGCTGAGTTTAAGTCCTTTTTCTCTACACAGTGCAACATGCATATGCAGGGTTATAAAGGCATACTTTGAATCAGTATAAATGTTGACTGGTGAGTGCTATAATCTGCCTTTTGGGAAGATGTTCCAGGTGGGAGTTTTCTTTAATGGCTTAGAATGCTTTTTCCTGAGGGCCTTTTACACTAGAGGGCAGTGGTTCTCAACCTGTGCCACAGAAACTGTATTAAAGGGCTGCAGCATTAGGAAAGTTGAGAACCACTGCACTAGGGGCTCTTTATTACCTCCTTTGTAACTTCATACAAGCACAACAAAATTTAGGATCCACAGGTGACAGAAACCAGCTGCCTCTAAAAATTCTCTGGCCTTAGGAACAAGCAGGTTACAAATTACCTGGTTTCTTTTAGGAAATTTTATATCCACAGTTCTCTAAATGTTTTAACAACATATCAGTTCCTTGAGCACTTCCTTTTCTAGTACTCATAGCCTAAGAGTAAATCATCCACATATTGCAGTAAGGTACTCTGTAAGTGTTGTGCAGGAAAGGTTGACAGGTCCCTGGCCAGTGCTTCCCAAAGATTGTAATGCAATTCTTACCTAAGTCTAGATATGCCCTTCCACAGTATGTTCATTCTTCTCTTGGTGAGCTGCTGCCTTATTGGACCACCATGGGACCTCCCCTCTGTGTCATCAGCACCAGAGAATCCTTAGGGAACAGCATCAGTCAGGGTGCCAGTGAGTACCCCCAAGGAGTGCTATACCTGGCATGGGGAAGCCCCTAGAGTCTTGGTCCCAATCCTACACACCTGGCATGGGGGAAGCCCCTAGAATCTCTCAGTCCCAATCCACCTGCTCATTTTCCTGGTCAGGGAACCAAAAATGTTGCAGAAACACACTGAATTAAAACAGACAGACACACCAACAATATAGAGGAAGGAACCTTTAATTGCAGGCCAGAACTCAGGGTGCATTGAGGGGTAAAATGCTGAGTTCCAGGAACAGTTTTTTTCTAGGCTCTTTTATACTTTTTTTTTTCTTCAATTCAATATCAGCTACATAGTTACAACTACAGATATTAGAAACCAGGGCATTATTATTAGTTACAAAGTATTTTTTTATCTTTTTCTTTTTCTTTTCAAGGGTATTTCATCTGCATGTAAAGTTTGTTCTGATCTTGAAAGAAAGAGTTCTTCTGCAGCTGCCTGCTGCTTTCTTAGGACCACTGAGAAGTATAAGATTTATTTCTCCTTCCTCAAAAATAGTATGCTCATATAGGCATAGAATATTTTCCCCTTTTTTGTTTGAGATTCATTGAGGGTACAAAGAATTAGGTTGCACTGATTACATTTGTTAGATAAAATCCCTCTTATAATTGTGTCCTACAAAGTATTTTCTTAAACGTTTAAAATAAACTGGTAACTATATCTGCTTCTGGGTAACTACATCTGCTTCTGGGAAAAGAGGGACACTTTTATTGTATACTCCTATTTGAATTTTTACATGTATGGCATCTAGCTTTTCAATTTTAAAAAGTCATTAAGGAGAAAAGTACATAAAAATGGTAATTTGTAATTCTAAATTTATCTCTAGTAGTAAATAATGTCATTCATTTATTCATGTTTATGTTATTTGTGTTTTCTTTTTCTGTGAACCACCTGTTCTTCTCTTCTTTGGGTTGCACTGTTTATTGGTATGTAAGAGCTTTTTACATAATAAAAAAAATTAGCTCTTTGACCACCATGACCCAATTTAGAATGCAGAGACTAGAGGGGACTAGCAAGGCTCATCTGCCCAGCTTAGCCCATCCAGGAGAGGAGGGGCGTGATCTCCCTCCAGCAGCTCTTCCTTTGCTCTCAATGACCCCCCCGCCCCATCTTTAAGCACAATCCTCATAGGACAGGTCAGTCCATTTCCTCGTTCTCTTCAGTGAAATCTATAAAATCTTTCCTAGAACTTTAAGTCATTCATTTGTTATGAAGAACTTACTATGAACTAGATTGAAGATAGATTGAAGACAGGGCTTCTGCCATCGTCTCCTGGGGGGGGTGCAGGAGGAAGATCACATAGACAGGGGCAGCGCTAACTTAGTAGCTGCATTTAGTGACCTCTCAGACAATGACATGTTGCTTCCTTCTTAATGTGACTTATGCTGGGTCCTCTTTTTCCCTTTCTCTTTGCTCTTGTTTTTGACATCCTTAACTACTTTAATGACTTTTACTGTTACTTCCCTCTCCCTTCCCTCTCCTCACCCTCTCTTCCCTCTCCTCACCTTCACCTCCCTCTCTTCACCCTCTCTTCCTTCTCCTCACTCTCTCTTCCCTCTCCTCACCCTCACCTCCCTCTTCTCACCCTCTCTTCCCTCTCTCCTCACCCTCACTTCCCTCTCTCCTTACCATCTCTTCCCTCTCCTCACCTTCTCTTCCCTCCTCACCCTCTCTTCCCCCTCCTCACCCTCTCTTCCTTCTCCTCACCCTCTCTTCCCTTTCTCCTTACCATCTCTTCCTTCTCCTCACCCTCTCTTCCCTCTCTCCCCTCTCTCCTCACCCTCGCTTCACCCTCACCTTCTCACCATCTGCCTCTCCTCACCATCTCCTCTCTCTCCTCACCTGCACTTGCTCTGAGTAATTCCCTGCAGCCTGTGAACATGCCCACATCTACCTTGTTAAAATCTTCCCTCTACCCTCCCTTTAAGTACTGCCTCATTTCTCTGCTTCTCTTACAGCCAAAACTCTCAAAAGAATTGTTTCGTATTCATTTTCTTCACTTTAACTCATTCCACTAAAAGGGCTAACTCCTGGCCACATGTGGTTGGTAAGCACGCAAACTGTGGTTAATGTGTCTGAGGCATTAAATTATTAATTGTATTTTAATTTCTTTAGGATTAATAGTTTCATGTGGCTAGTAGCTATATTGAACAGCACAGCTCTAAAGGATTCTAATTGTAGAATTAACAGAATTTACATGTCTGTGTATATATCATACACCTATATAACTTTGTGCATGAGAGTTCATATTCTTTTCAAATATGTAATCAGTGAGATTCTCCTGGGTCCCTCAGGGAAAAATCCAGCACAATTTGGCCCTGACCCCTCTCCATCCCCTTCTGGTGCACCTGTGCCTCTCCTGAACTCAAGCCCACTGGCATAGACCTGCCAGCCTGGGCCCAAGATGGAATAAAGACATTCAGTTGCTTGGGGTGCAACAGTGAGAAACTTGGTGTGGTTGAACATTTGATTGAGTGTTTTTACTGCCTGAGCTGTTAAACCTTGGTATTGATGCCTCTGTTATCTGCAGGTAGATTACCTAGCCACTAGATTAGATTAGGATCTGGCTGCAAGATTGGGTTCTCAACACCTTGTCTTGAGGTTTCTAAACTGTTACTCCATTGTGCTCTTCCCTCAGTGTTTGTGGAAATGTTCAGCAAGGAGCAAGGAGGCCTCTCTGTTTGTATATTTTACTATCAGCAGAGCTCATGGCCCCAGACTCATCCACTTAGCCCCATAGCCATCTCAAGCATGAGAAAAATAACTCCCTCAGGAAAGCTTGGTTCCCTGGCCTAAGACAGACCTTGACACAATGACCTGTCTGGCTTAAGTCCTACTAAGCTAATAGGGAAGCGAATGAGGAAATGGACTTGGGTACTTTCAAAAATCAGACAGCATATCAAGTGACAGTGATTCCCGCACAGGAAGGTTCATCCCTGCTTCAGAAGAAAGTCTGACTTTGGGGCTAATAGTTCCTCTGTAATACTTCCTTACTTCCTTTACAGTAAAGACAGGCCCAGAGCCTTTGCAGGTAACAGCATCTAATCAGAATTTAATAACGTGATGTTATCATATTCAGTTTTGCAGCCACCTTCAATTCATTGCAAATACTAGTTTTCCATTTCTAGCTGTGATATAAAGTTTCCTTTGTAAATGTGTCTGTTTTTCAAGAGCCAGTTTAGGAAAAAAGGTAATAATTCAAGTGATATCTGGATCTAGTACAAATAATACTGTAATTTGTGAATGAGCAAAATCTGGAAAATGCTCCCTTAGAAACAGCTGTCAAGATTGATGGGTCCATAGGTTTGCAAAACTGTTTCCATCTTAAGCAAAACTACCTCTTTCCTGGAACAACTTTCAGGGCCTGGTGATTGTCTTTTTTCCCTGCTTCTCATCCCAAAGGTTTGTTTACCAAGCAAAAGTTGGCGGTCGCTGGTTCCCAGCTGTGTGTGCACACAGCAAGAAGCAGGGCAAGCAGGAGGCAGCAGATGCCGCTCTCCGTGTGCTGATTGGGGAGAACGAGAAGGCAGAACGCATGGGTTTCACAGAGGTAACCCCAGTGACAGGGGCCAGTCTCAGAAGAACTTTGCTCCTCCTCTCAAGGTCCCCAGAAGCACAGCCTAAGACAGTTAAGACATCTACTTTTGGTGCTTTCTTTGGGGGTGGGGGGGGTGGGGGGGGTCTTGCTGGTGGAGTTCACTTTGACTTGCTGTCATGTGAGTCAAACTGGGCCTCACTGTCAGCCTCTGTAGCAGACATAACTGGGACAGTAGATGGGAGAGGGACATGTGTCAAGAAGAGCTTGGTCTCCCTGCTCATAGTGGATGCGGTGGACACGGCCTGGGATTTGTGGTTCTGACACAGCCTCCTGTCCCCATAGCTCCCGCTCACTGGCAGCACTTTCCACGACCAGATAGCCATGCTGAGCCACCGCTGCTTCAACACCCTGACTAACAGTTTTGAGCCATCCTTGCTTGGCCGTAAGATCCTGGCCGCCATCGTCATGAAGAAAGACTCTGAGGACATGGGTGTTGTAGTAAGCCTGGGGACCGGTGAGTGAGGTTCTGGAGTACACTCCTCCAGGCATCTGCCTCCCACATTGGCTAGAAGTGGGTTCTTGTCATTCTCCCCCAAATTCTAGGCAAGGGAATTCAAGGCAGGGAGCAAAGACTTTCCTTATACTTGATTTTAGCTACAGCCAGTTCACAATGAGGAATGAGTTCTCTCCAGAGAAGGGAATCTGGGCATCAAGAAGCTGATAGATTGTGGCTGAGGCCACCTCTGATATTTAAGAACAAATAGCCTTCGCCCTGTTCATCATGATTTTCCTCTGGTGATTCCAGTTGTGTTTTCAATGCCTTCTAGGAAATCGGTGTGTGAAGGGAGACTCCCTCAGCCTGAAGGGAGAAACTGTCAATGACTGCCACGCAGAGATCATCTCCCGGAGGGGCTTCATCAGGTGGGCACTTGGGGCGGGGCTGCTGCTGTGCCTCCCTTCTCTCCACGCCTCTGCTGCCACTGGGCACCGGTGCTCCAACACAACCTCCAAAACCCCAGGAGATGGCAGGTGGTTGAGGCAGCCTTTGCATTTAGCCTGTCCGTTCGAACCTGTCTGACAGAATTGGTCTCCTCTGTGACTGGGCTGCATCCTGCTTCTTAGCCTGCTTTTAAGTGCTATCCTTTTTCTACTAACTTTTTCATGTCCTTTTCTAAAAAACACAAGATGACCTTTTGGTTCTCAGGGCCTTGTGTATAAGGCTGTCTTCTACCTCCATTTTAGGACTAAACAACCTCAGTGTTCCTCCTAGCTCTCTTCTCCAGCTCACCTTTTCCTTAATTTATGAGGGGAGATTAAAAGCAACAGCCTCCTATAGTCCTGAAATCAATTTGTTCTGCCCTAGAATCCCTGTGGCCACCATAGCACGGAGCCCTCAAAAGAAAGGAAACTGATCCAAAAGGCTAACTTTGCTTTTTGCAATGCTGGAGTCTCCCATAGAGAATGCCCTACCACTTCTTTCTATCTGAGCAATTGTGAAAAGTTTGCAATATTAAGGCTTTTCTTTTCTCTCTTTTTTTTTCTTTTAGAGAGAAAGTCTCACTGTTTTTTTTTTATTGTGGGCAATTGTGGGCCATGGAGTCATCACAGCTCACAGCTCTTGGGCTTTGGTGATTCACTTGCCTCAACCTCCCAAATAGCTGGGACTATAGGTGCCCGCCACAGTGCCTGGCTATTTTTGTTGTTGTTGCAGTTTGGCCAGGGCAGGGTTTGAACTCACCACCCTCAGTATATGGGGCCTACGCCCTACTCAGAGCCACAGGCACTGCCTAGCCTTAAAGCTTTTCCTTAACTTTGGGCTCAGATGGAGGTCAGATTATTGAAGCAACTGCTCTTCCCAAAGTTGACCCTGTCTTTCTAACCGTTTTTTCTTTGTGTAGATTTCTCTACAGTGAATTAATGAAATACAACTCCCAGACAGCAAGGGACAGCATATTTGAACTCGCTAGGGGAGGAGAAAAGCTCCAGATAAAGAAGACTGTGTCATTCCACCTCTATATCAGGTCTGCACACATCCGTGGCAGCCCTGGGCGGGGCATCAGGACACTCCCAGGCTGCAAATGAGACCCTCCACCACCAGCCACACTCCACTCTGGGTTTGAGACACATGCCTGGTATAGAATGACTCACATACCCTGCTGCCCACCTCTGCTATCTTATAGTGGTCCCCAGAAAACATCCTTCTGCCTCATCTGACTACTCTTGAACCCCACCCAGGAAATGGGGGAGGTTTGCACAGGTGAGTTTGAACAGGTGCCCTGTCCTACAGCACTGCGCCCTGTGGAGACGGTGCCCTCTTCGACAAGTCCTGCAGTGACCGGGCCATGGAAAACATAGACTCCTCCCACCACCCTGTCTTTGAGAATCCCAAACAAGGCAAGCTCCGTACCAAGGTAGAGAATGGTGAGTGACACGCACCCTCCTTCCTTCCCAAAAAACCTCTGCCGGTTCCCAGGACCCCAAAGTCTTGAGTGGAGGAGTTCTGTAGAAGGATCAAAGTTCCATCTTGAATAAGGTGACCAGATTTTAACATTGGTAAAGTGGGACACCATTGATGGGGGTGGGGTGGGGGTGGGGCGGAGGAGGGTTGTGTTCTTGATTAAAAATTTGATATATATGGAGCAACAAAAATTTTCATAGACCACAAAAATAGTATTTTAACTTTTTTTTTTAATTTCAACATAAGTACAATTTACAAATATAATACATTAAAAAAAATTATGTATAGGGCGGTGCCTGTGGCTCAAAGGAGTAGGCCGCAGGTCCACCTTGGCCACCTTGCCCAGGAGGGGAGTAGGGAGTTTACATTAGCCTTTTCATTTCCAAACAAAGTTACATTAACCTCTTCATTCCCAAATGGAGTTACATTAACCTTTACAGCAGCCGAACTGTATATTCCATTCCTGTTGTCCCGCCCTTCCCTAGATTGTGGTGCATTCTTTCTTTCCAAAAATCGGGACTTTTTAAAAACACCGCGAGACACAGGACAAATTGTTAAAAAGCGGACGTCTGGTCACCTTAATCTTGAATCTGTCAGTTTGGGAGACCTCTAGGTCAAATAGGAGGCGGAGGTACCTATCTCGCTCAGAGGAGAGATCCTCCTTGGATGTACAACATGGCTGCGCTCCCCTGTAGGGTCTTCCTAGCAGGGGAAATGGGTAGCGTCAGCTTAGAGAGAGGGAGGATGAAAAAGAAATGGTACAGACCCAGGCCTGAGGAACTGGCGGGCCTGGTCTCCCCTGGCTGCAGGTTCACTCCTACTCACCAGCTCCTACTTGCCTGCTTCCCCCCACCTCCTCACATCCACTCCTGCTCCCTTGAGGCCACACTTTAGCAGTTATCAGAGTGGCCCTAAAACCCAGCTAAGTAGCATAAACAGAGTCACTGTGCGTCCCAGTGCTAGGCATATGCCCAAGAGAAATGAAAATGTGTCCACACAAAAACCAGTGTGTGAATGTTCAGTACAGCATATTCATAATAGCCAGAAAAAGTGGAAATAACCCAATACCTATCAGCTGAAGGACTGATAAATAAAACGTGATAAATCTATACACAGGAATATTATTTGGCCATAAAGAGAAAGCAATGCTGACATCTACTCACAACATGGGTAGGCTTAGACTCATGCTGCTCAGTGGAAACAGCCAGTCACAAAAGGTCACATACGCAAGATTACATTTATATGAAGTGTCCGGAGCAGACAGGTCTGCAGAGATGGAAAGCAGACGAGTGGTTGCAGCCTGAGGGTGGGAGGGAGAGAAGGAGGAGTGACTGCCAATGAGCAGAGGGTTTCTTTTTGGAGTGATAGAATGTTCTAAAATTAACTGGTGATAATTGCAGAACTGTGAAAATACTAAAAACCGGCTTGGCGCCTATAGCTCAACCGGCTAAGGCGCCAGCCACGTACACCTAAGGTGGCGGGTTCGAATCCCCAGCCCGGACCCGCCAAACAACAATGACGGCTGCAACCAAAAAATAGCCAGGCGTTGTGGCGGGCGCCTGTGGTCCCAGCTACTTGGGAGGCTGAGGCAGGAGACTCGCTTGAGCCCAGGAGTTGGAGGTTGCTGTGAGCTGTAATGCCAGGGCACTCTACCCAGGGGGACAGCTTGAGGCTCTGTCTCCAAAAAAAAAAAAAAAAAAAAAAATACTAAAAACCACTAACTTACATGCTTTAAATGGGTGAATTGTATGGCATACAAATTATATCTCAATAAAGCTGTTATTTTAAAAAATAACAACCCTGTAGTGGTTTCCCACTGCACTTCATACAAAAGCAAAATCTGCTATGATCTCAGCCTCACCCTGTGCCACTATCCCCATCCCTCATGTATGTGAGTCACATGGGCTTTTGATCAGCTCCCTGAATAGCCAGGCTGATTGCTGCCTCAGGCCCTTGGCTTTAGTTCTATGTCTGAAATTCTTCCCTCCCCCTTCTCCTTTCTGTCTCAGCCTAGACTCTGCTATCCCAGGCAATCCCCTGCAGTCCTTGTTCTCACAGCCTCAGAGCACTGTCAGTTAGCATTGGAGCCTTAGGGATATGTCAGTCCACTTGCTTGGTGTCCTTTCCATTCCTTCCTGTCCTCTGATCCCTGCAGTGTTCTCAGGGGACAGGATCTTACCTGGTTTTGCTCACCATTGTCTCCCAGCACCAGGTGTAGGGCAGGTGCTGTGAGATCCATGAAGAATGAATAGATGGCTGGCCTTTGTCCCAAGCCCTAGGAATACACACACCATGCCAAGGAGTGGTTTGATCCAGTGGTACTTGTAGGTCTTACCCAAGTCTCTCACGCAGGGGAGGGCACAATCCCTGTGGAGTCCAGCGACATTGTGCCTACGTGGGATGGCATTCGGCTCGGGGAGAGACTCCGTACCATGTCCTGTAGTGACAAAATCCTACGCTGGAACGTGCTGGGCCTACAAGGGGCACTGTTAACTCACTTCCTACAGCCTGTGTATCTCAAATCTGTCACATTAGGTAAGGGACCTGCTTTGGGGTCTGGAGCCAGTCTGTCCTTGTGCCCAAATCCTAGCAAACTACATACTGTGTTACCAGGGGTGGAGGTGATATCCGCTTTCGAAAGTAAACATGAGTCCATCATCAGGAATGGTTCTGAGTGTCCAGGCTGCTGTGGCAGGGAGACCAATTTAGGCAGCTTAAGTAGAGACACACCAGGCTGGGCTTTTCAAGATGAGTTAAAGAAACCTCAGCTTAAAATTGCAGTGTTTTAGCTTGCTTGCTGTCCACCGCAATTGGCCTTACCTAGAACCCTTTATTTTGTGCTTAAATATTTGGTGATCCCAAGGATCCTATGTAGCCACAATCAGAAAGCTGCTTCTCTGTCTTGACAACTCTGTTTCATGCCTCCAAATCCCCACTAGCCTCTGCCTCTTAACAGCATCTGGTGCAAACACAGGTGTGTATACATTTTTTTTTTTTTGTACCTAGGTTACCTTTTCAGCCAAGGGCATCTGACCCGTGCTATTTGCTGTCGTATGACGAGAGATGGGAGTGCATTTGAGGATGGACTACGATACCCCTTTACTGTCAACCACCCTAAGGTACTATAACCCTGTTCTGTTTGCCATTGGCATTTTTCTCCTTTAGATCGATCCTATGAGCAGAGCAAAAATGTACTCTAGGCAAAGGGAGCCATTATTGGTGCCCCAAGAACTTTATCCTTTCCTCCTTTTGGATGCTAAGAGGTTTTCCTTCTCTTAGTCTTAGTTTGAATCAAGGGGAAGTTAGTATATCTAGATTCTGCTCAGTCATAGCCAAACAGAGCCCTAAATAAGGAAAAAAAGATCACAGCCCCACACACCTCTTTCCTTAGTCTTAAGTCCCTGTTTCAGAATCTCATTCCTAAAGGTTTCCATCTTTCTCCCATCATTCTGGGATTCCTAGGTTGGCCGAGTCAGTGTATATGATTCCAAAAGGCAATCTGGGAAGACAAAGGAGACAAGTGTCAACTGGTGTCTGGCCGATGGCTATGACCTAGAGATCCTGGACGGCACCAGAGGCACCGTGGATGGGTGAGGAGCCAGGGTTTGGGGGCAGCACATGTCTGCAGATCTTGAGTTGCCTGCACTGCCTTGATTTCTCCACTTTGGGACCCCACCTGTCCTGGTCCCAGGTGAATAATGAGTGCTTTTGTTTCTCTAGGCCACGGAATGAATTGTCCCGGGTCTCTAAAAAGAACATTTTTCTTCTATTTAAGAAGCTCTGCTCCTTCCGTTACCGCAGGGATCTACTGAAACTCTCCTATGGTGAGGCCAAGAAAGCTGCCCGAGACTATGAGATAGCCAAGAACTACTTCAAAAAAGGCCTGAAGGATATGGGCTATGGGAACTGGATAAGCAAGCCCCAGGAGGAAAAGAACTTTTATCTCTGCCCAGTATAGCATGATTCAGTGACAGGTGGATTGGGGTGAGAGAGGTAGGATTTGCATTCCTTGTTATGTTGGTCAGAGGGTATATTTCTCCTCCTTTCCTCCCCCACCCACACCTGGGTTAAGTTTTACTTGTCCTGCTTTCTTGGGGATTGCAAGGCAGGGTCTAGTCAGGCCCCTATCTCTTTTCCTATGTGATGAGTCAGAGACTTAGGGGAGAGAAAAGGGGTCACCTTTTCCTTCCCCAAAAAGCAAAAGCAGTCACTGAGCCCCTGTAGCCTATTTCCTCTAAATTGTTTTATTTTTTTCCTTTTCCTTTGTGTTTACTGCACTGATCTCTTGATCAGGCCTGGTCAACTCTGTGCATCATGTCAGGGACTTAGGACTCATTTGTGAATTCTGCAGACCCCTCTACTTCCCTCTCCCCCCTTCTGAGGTTACTTCCTTGTTATCAAAGTTTCTCTGTTTCCTCCCCAAGAGGATAAAGACGTGAACTTAAAAGAATTTGACAAAACCTTTATTGTAGTTGAAAACTGCAGTCAGTACCAGTGGAAGCACTATCAGAATCTGCAAATAATGCTTTTGTTTTTCCCATCTTGCACTTTAGCCAGCCTGTGGGGGATGGGGAGAGCCAGGGGACACTGTACCCCTCCCCAGGCAACAGCGACTCTAGAACCAGCCAGTCTGGCTCAGGGACGATTCTGCCTGCAGGGTGACACAGACCACTTCCCAGGAAACACAGACATTCCTTGGAATATTGCCAAGCTTCAACCACTCCTTATAAAGAATTCTTAAGAATTTCCCCTGCCAATGTGGGGTGTAAAGCCATAGACCCCACCAACTGGTAGGAAAAAGTCCAGGACAAATCTTAGAGGGGCAGATCATATCTGCTCAGATAATCAAGATTTCACAAGAGAAAGGGCAAAAAATCATGGTCAGATCACTGTTCAGCCTGGCATAGTCTATGTTTCTCATGACAGTGATGCCCAGGGAAGTTGGCCAAGTCATATGTCAATCAGGAGTTTTAAAAGAATGCCATAGGTGTTGCTTCCTAACTGCTACAGATAACCTATAATTGAGCAGTTCAAATGTTCAGACGTACTTCTCCATTTATCCAGGCACACTCACTTTGCTGGTTAGCTTCAGAAGTAGGTTCATGGCAGGGTACAGACTGAGGTCTCCTTACAGTAGCTGCAGATGAAAGGGCAGCTGTTCTCATGCTCTCTGGGACAGGACTCTTGACTCCTTTGGCCAGAGCCTTTCACTTCTCTGGAGTCTAGTTCTGGGGCTGAGTCAGCCAGACATGCTGGAGAGGACGCAGGCACTGCTGCCTCAGGACCTGAGCCTGGAGATGCATGTTTGTCTGGGAGGTGTGAGCCAGTGCCCTGGTGGCTTCCCACCCCACCCCATGCAGACTGGTGACCAGTTTGCCGCAGCCTCAGTGGTAGATACACTCACATTTGCACTTTTGTACCCTCTGTACAACCAAAAATTGGCCAAAATAAGAAAACCCATGTTTTTAAAATGGACTAAGGATGTCTCTGTGGAGCACCAAAGTATCCCAAGGAACTGGTAAGAGAATGGTGTCTTCCAGGGCAGAAGGGGCCTCCTGTTTGCCCCCAGCCCTGAGTCTTCTGAGGGCGTACGCACCAGTCCTTGCATCCACATGGAGGGCAGAGTGATCTTGTGGTTCTAGCCATGGGAGGAAACACAGCCTTTCACATTTTCAGGCAGGAGGGTTATCACGTATGGGTTCCTGGAAGTGCTGTGCCCCTCTGGTCTATGTTGGGCATTAGATCTGCAGCAGAGAGCAGGCCAGCTGCCTCTTCTTTAATTGGACAACAGGGGGTGTCAGAAGGTCAGAACTCTCATCGCCCCAAGATTTTGCCTGGCAAGTGTGCTACAGGAGTGCGGCATCCCCCCTGTCCACATGCCTGCTGGAAACCAACCTTGTCAGGCCCTGCACCACCCCGTCCCCACACCCCTGAGTCACATGAGACAGAGGTGCAGCATTCCCACCACTGTTCTCTTCATGTTTTTGTCCAATCTTTGCTTAAGCAGGACCCCTTCCCCGCAATTTTGCTCTTTAATTATTTTTGTAGTTTGTCTGAACTGTAGCTGTTGTGCATTCTTAAATAATCACTTGTGCAAAACTGTCGATGCTTGAAGCTACTTCCTTTATGTTGAAGGGAATTTGTTGGTTTGAGGGGGTCTAGTGACTCCAAGAGCAGAGTGGGGAAGAGCCCAGGCACAGACTTGGGTGCCACAGTGGCTGCAGTCCAGTTTTCATTCTGCTGTTGCGTGTCCCTTCATAACATAACTAACAATAAACATTCCTCATAAATAATAAAAGAAAAAAAGAATCTGAATTGTTAGCTTTAAATCTTGGTTTCTTGGGGGAAATGAAAGTGGGGACAGAGGGACCTGTGGTCCTGGGATTCCTGGTTAACAGCACCAGCTGGAACAGATGAACAACCTGGGGATGATGTCAGCCCTCCCTTCTGGAGGAGAGCAGCCCCTCAGCACCTCTGCACAGGCCTCCAGACAGGGCTGGGGGCATCGGGCACCCCTTGGTTCCTTCCCAGCTCCATGCTTCCTCCTCATCAGAGCCCGCTACTAAGTATCTTGTCCTGAGGGAACTGATAAGATGTCAAGTAGAAGAACATCCCCAGTGTCACAATTACATACACAATTCCAGCTCTTCTTTGGAGGTATTTTTCTACCTCTCCCCAATCTACCTGCCCCCAGCCCTTTTGCCTGCAGGGATATTCATATTAGGAGTAAAGTTGCAGCCAGGAACAGGACAGGCTTGGCTGCAGTCTTAGGAGGCAGACCATTGCTCTTTACTTCATAAGTGGCGTCCAAAATATCTCTCCATCTTGCATTTAAAGAGAGTGCTCTTTCTACATTATGATTTACTCCTTAGTTTTTATTTTTTTTTGAGACAGTCTCACTGTCCCTCACCTTAGAATAGTAGTGGCATCATTACAGCTCACAGCAACCTCAAACTTCTGGGGTCAAGTGATCCTACTGCAGCTTCCCGAGTAGCTGGGACTACAGGCACCTACTGTAATGCCTGGCTAGCTTTTCTGCTTTTAGTAGAGATGGTCTGGGACGCCTGAGCTCAAGGGATCCTCCTGCATCCACCTCCTAGAGTGCTGGGATTATAGGTGTGAACCACTGTGCCAGAATTTCTACAAGATTCATCCTGGACCTTTTATCAATATCATACCAAAGAACAAAAAAAAACCTAACAGGCTGAGTGACAGTGAAACCTTCTGCCTCATACACTACATGGATGGAACAGGTGAGGTCAGGAGGGCCTGGCATGGTTGGGGCTGTTACAAAAGGACTGGAGCTCAACTGGTGTCTTTGCCAGTTTTTTGAACACCACTGCTGGGTGAGCTCAATGGTCTGATTTAAAGTCCATGAGGGTGACGTCTCTGCCACTGTGACGTGCCAGGAGCCTCTCGTGCCTCTGTCCTCTGTTGTCAGGCAGCCTCTGGTTCTGAGGAAAATGTGGGGCTAGGTCTTTCACAAAGTGGACAATTTACTTAAAGCCTAAGGCGAGTGCCCTGGCACTGTCTGCAGAGGGATGCGCCTGTCCCCACCACCGACCCTAAGTGGTTAGCTGGACAAGAGGGCCGTCCCTTGGGATCACAGGGAGTCTCTTCAGCTGGCATTTCATTTAGGGGGCCCACAATTTAATGCTGTTTCCAAGACTTAGGCCCATATCAAACCAGTGTTCTGGGAGCAGGTCTAGTCTCATGCAGACTACAGCTTTGACTTCCCAGAGCAAAGGGGCTGCGAGAGGAAACCTAGCTGTCCCTGCTTCCAGGAGACTCCACTGGGTCCCTGACACAGGATCCTCCTCCCAAGGGCCGATTTCCGGGCTGTTACTCTAGGCCAGCCATTCAGCCATTTTTTCCATCTGATGAGTAGGTGTATAAGGCAACAAACCACAATAATCCAATAGCAAATTGTCATGTTGTCACCTCTCTGGGCCTCTTTTTTCTTTTCATTCTTGTCTTTAACTTCTCATGAGTCTTAATTTCTCCAGCAGTCTCCCTTTTTCCTGTATTTACCAACCCTGGACATAATAGACACGACAACTTTGGAAACAACTGTTTTTACAAGAATCTTGAGTTCCTAATGGGTTTGGCTTGGGGAGGGCCAGACCCAGCAGATAGGAGAGGCAAGAGCATTGCAGGGGTGGCGAACACCCAGGCAGGGAGTGAGCTATCCTGACGATCCCTATTCTGCAGTCCCTAAGGAGCCACGTCACGGTGACAATGACCTCGGCACCCATCAGGATGAATTTTAAGAGGTGGCTGCTGTTCTCTGTCTAATCAGGGTTGGTGAGTAGGAGTCTGGCCAGCACCAGCTGTGAGGGGCGCTGTGACAGCTGGAACTAGCTCTGATCTTGCTTGGAGATGATTCAGAGAAGGCCTAGAAGCCCCTCCCCCCTTCCTCCCAAGAAGCTTTTCTCCCACCTGGCTCAAAGGCTACAGCAAGAGGATGTGGGACAGTGCAGGTTTCAGGCCCCACACTGCTCACCAGCTGTCACGTGGTTTCTCTGAGCCTCATTTCTGTTCTGTAAAATGGGGCCCTTCCCCATAGGGCTGCTGTGAGGAGTAAAGACAATGCCTGGGAAGGGCCTGGCACGAGCAGACCTCAGTGGATAGCCGCTAAGATTGGGATTTGGAGAGGACACAGAGGCCAAAGCCCCCAAAATATGTGAAGAGTAATCCTTATTCAAGACCATTAGGAGGTCTTGCCTTTCCTCTGTAGATTGCCTATGACAGGATATGCCATCTGGGGGCTTTCAGTGTCTCTTTTGCTTTGAAATTTTCAGGGACTTGGTACCATCTGTTTTAGTGTTACACACCTCACTGCCAGGGAGCTGCCTTCCTGCCAGTGTAATGCCTGCTGTCAGGAGCAGACAGCCTGTGTGTGCCGTCTTTTCAGGCAGAAACGGTCACCAGGCCACCTGAGGCCTAGCTGTGATGGAGACAACCCCCACTTGGTCCTGCACATCCCTTCCCAAGCCCACTTTGTTCCAGGCTGCAGTCCAGGGGCCCACCTCCCTCTGCAGCTCTGCAGCCTCATCCCATCCCTGCCCAGCCTGGGTACCCACTTCTCTCCAGAGACGGCCCACCAAGGGGTAGGAAGCCTCCCTGATATCACCAAGGTGAGAGGACACATGACTCCAGAGTGGCAGGAAGTGATTCTCCAAAGCTTTTCAGTGCCCTTGAGGGCCTAGCACTGCCTGGGACATGGTGACCTCCTTCCTCCACTGCTGTTCCTCCCTATGAGACAGTCCCACAGGCACAGCCCAGATAGCCCTTGACTGCTGCACCCTTGGCCGTCTCTGCCTGTCTACTCTGACAGATACAGAATAATAAGCTCTAAGGTCAGTGCATCCTATGAAGTCACACAGCTGTCACTGGGCCTGAGTTTCCTTAATGGGTCATGGGGCGGAGTTGAACAAGCTGCCATCCACAGCACTGCTTGGTGATGTCACTCAGACAACAGCCACTTGGGGGAACTGCTAAAAGCAAGCCAACCCTACAGCCCTAGGAGGGCCAGGAGGGCCCTGACCTCACGGCACCCCTGGAAGTGGGAGTTCCTTTCCTGCTGCTGTTGCAAGTTCCAGGATGCTTTCCCCAGGCCTGAGTTTGAGCAGGGTCCAGGCACAATATGGACAACTCTAAATTTCCTGTTCTAGATGAGGAGAGTCCCCATACTGCAGAGATACCCCTTACCACCAAGGAGAGATGTCTGTGAGCCCATTCTGCCAGTGGGGATGTGCAGCAAGGCACTGCTCAAGTCCCAGCAATGCTGGGAGCAGCCTGGATGCCAGAGGGGCTCCAAAGAGAAGCCCACTTGCCCATCAGACTCTTGAGCAGTCCTTGCAACGCTCCCCTCTAGTGGCTTCCCCAGATCCAGGCCCTGCAGAGGAGACTGGGTTTGCTCAGGGGACAGAAAGGGCAAGAGGCTCGTGTGATAGCTGGTGACATACCCTTCCCTCCAACTCTGCCTCCAGGTGTGACATCCCTGTGGCATCTATTCTGTGCCAGATACAGGTTATTGTTCACAGGCATCCTGCATCCTCACACAACCCTATGAAGAGGGCACTTCCATCCCCAGCAAGGCAAAGGGACTTGCCTGAGATGGCTCAGTGAGCAGGTAGCAGAGATGGGAGCAGGACCCCAACTCCAGGAGTCTGCCCAGCACTCTGTGCTGTCTGTGGCTACTTTCCCACTGGTCTGTGGAGAACGCAATGGTAGTGTGGGGCCAGGGCCCAGGAAACACCTGGCAGATGACCCCTTTGACCTGCCACATGCTGGCTCAACACCACAGGTGAGAGCCAATTACAGGGTGAGGAGGGCAGAGCAGGAGACCCATGAACAAGTCAGTTTCCTGGGCTGACAAGCCAGGTGGCCTTTAAGTCAGCTTCTAGGAGCAGTGTTAGGACACAGCCTCCAGAGACCTGCAGAACGAGAACTTGAAACTGCTTGCTGGTTGTCACTGTCCTTCCAAAGATCTGCCTCAGATCTGTGTGGTGGGAGCAAGAGCCAGATAGGAGCTGTGAGCAGAGGTGGTAGAGCAGCAGGGCCCTGGCAGGGTTCTAGCCATTTGCCCCTGCTCAGCCAGCCTCACAGCCGGCTCTGCTGTGGGCTGCAAGCTAACATCTTCAGTTACTTCCTTCAAGCATCCAGTCAGTTCAAAATGGGGAAGAAAAACGGGGGTCCCAACATCTTGGGGCAGGGAAGAAAGTCAGTGGCCCATGCAGGCTCATCCTCTCTGGGTCTCTTTCTTCATCTGGAACGCAGCTAATGCTGGACCCCATGACTTTGAAAGGCTTTCCAGGCTCCAAAAACCTGTGAACTTGTACTTCTCACACAGTTCAAGTATCTGGACCTCAGACTCCAAGCAAGCCATCCAGAGATGCAGAACCCACAGGCTCCCCTAGTGCCTGACCCTGCTTACCATGCCCTGAGCCTGAGCAAGGAAGGAAGGAGAGGGAGGCCTAGGGGTGCAGAGAGTTCTGCAGGCAGGAGGGGATCTGGGGCTCACCATGTGCCCCTTAGAAGCATGAGGCTGTGGGTCTGAGTTGGAAGCCCCCGAAGAGTCTGTCTGCAGGACCAGACGAAGTTTTCTGGGCAGCCCACCCAGCACAGGTGCTGTCTACTCAAGCAGGGGCAGATATCAGATCACTCCCAGGTGCCTCTCTTGCTCCCCTCCTCTGAGCTGCTATGATGTCCCTCCAGCCTTCTCCCACACCCACTTCTGAGATGATGCAGTAGTGCTTCTTCCCCTGCCTGGCTCTCCCTTCACTGTCCTCAGGCGAGAGGCTTGGATCCCTGCCCTCCACTCCTCAGCCTTCATCCCCCACTAGCGACACTGCTGCCAAGGCTGGTGCAAGCAGAGTACAGCATCCAAGACCTGTTGCAGCTGACCCAGTGCTGGCCGTGTGGATGGAGGTGTGGGAGGAGGGATCTGGATAAAGTGAAAGGAGGGACCTGCACCTCCTCATCACAGCACACTCATCCATCCTCTAGCCTACACTATTGTATGGCAGGGCAAAGGGATACAGGGGTATGGGTGTGAGGACAGTCTCACTTGGAGCTGGGAGCCAAGCGGTCCGGGTGCAGGGAGGTGCTGGTGCTGTAGTTCTGGAAGAGGGGCTGCAAGAACATGCCAATGGTGCCGAAGACACAGACAAAGACGAAGATCCAGAGGAACAGGCGGTCGATCACCATGGCGACGTACTTCCAGTCCTCACTGACCTGGATGGAGGAGACAGGAGGCCCATGGACTTTCAGCTGGCACAAGTAGTCCCCAGCATGTGTACATGCCCTGCTCCTCTCCCTCAGGGCCCCTAGGGCCACTTTTGAAAACACAACTCTGACTGTCTCAGCCATTAGGCCTCATTGTCTTCAGGGCCGTCGAGACTCCTAAGTTTAAAACCAAGACCCAACCATGACAAATATGAACCCACTACCTCCCTTCTCCCACCTATAGTCCCGATCTGCCAAACCCTAATGTGTCCTCTTAGGTGACTGTACCTTTGGGTTTTCTTTGTGTCTGGAAATTCTGACTCCCTTTTCTCTACCTGGTGAACTATATGTCCTTCAAAGCCCAAATCAAACATTCCTTTATGAGGGCTTTCTGGACCCCCACGTCAGAATGAACCACTGTCCCCTCTAAGTCCCCTCTGCACTATTTATGCATCTCCATCACAGTACTTCTACTGCACTGTACTGTTTCAACTTGAACATCTGTCCCTCTATTAAACTACAAACTCAGCCATCACTGGGGCCCTGTTGGATTTGTCTTTGTAATCCCAGCATTGGAAGCACAGAGTGCCCTTGGAGTGGATGAGTGAATGGCAGCCTCAGCAAGCCTTGTTTTGTCTATGATTGCACAGACCCCCATCCAGCAGCACTGCTTGCAGCACAGAGGTTGAGGACTAGGTTCCAGATGTTAACAAATCAGTCAAAAAGATAATACAGGCCAGGTTCAGTAGCCAAGCTTTTTTTTTGAGACAGAGTCTCATTATGTCACCCTGGGTAGAGTGCCATGGTGTCACAGCTCACAGCAATCTCAAACTCTTGGGCTTAAGTAATTCTCTTGCCTTAGCCTCCTAAGTAGCTGGGACTACAGGCATCACCATGATGCCTGGCTATATTTTGGTTGTAGTTGTCATTGTTGTTTATCAGGCCCAGGCTAGATTTGAACCTGCCAGCTCTGGTGTATGTGGCTGATGCCCCAGCTGCTGAGCTACAGGTGCTGAGCTATTAGCCATGCTTATAATCCCAGCACTTGGGGAGGCCAAAATGAGACATAGCTCACAAAAAAAAAAAAAAAAAAAAAAAAAATTTCTTGAGACAGAGCCTCAAGCTGTCACCCTGGGTAGAGTGCTATGGCATCACAGCTCACAGCAACCTCCAACTTGTGGGCTCAAACGAGTCTCCTGCCTCTGCCTCCCAAGTAGCTGGGACTACAGGCACCCACCACAACACCTGGCTATTTTTTGGTTGCAGCCATCATTGTTGTTTGGCGGGCCCAGGCTAGATTTGAACCTACCAGCTCAGGTGTATGTGGCTAGTGCCTTAGCTGCTTGAGCCACAGGCGCTGAGCCAGCTCACAAAAAATTTAAAAACTAGCCAGGTGTGGTGGCAGGCACCTGTAGTCCCAGCTATTCAGGAAGCAGAGGCCCGAGTATCACTTAAGCCCAAGAATTTGAGGTTGCTATGAGTTATGATGACACCACTACACTCTAGCCTGGATGACAGAACAAGACTTTGTTTAAAAACAAAAAAAATATGGGACTGAGAGCCAGAAGACAGAACTTGTATGAGGCCAGCCTGTCCTCAGAGCTGCTGCCCTCCAGCCCAAGTCTGGGCCTTTCTCCACATGTTTATCTGGAGCTTGGCCAGCTCACAGGGTGTAGAGGAGGTGACTGTGCACCTTTGTTTAATCAGCAGATGAATAATCCAGCACTCCATCACCACTGTGCCTACTGTATACCTGGCACTGTGCTCAGCACAAGGATGCAGTTTGGAGTCTACTGAAGGAGAAGAAAACAAAAACAAAAATTAAAACTACACAGTGTGGGAAATAAAGGGCTTGGGATGGAGAAAAGGAGGGAAATATGTCATTTAGAGTGTGGTCTGGGAAAGCCTCTTTGACATTCAAGCCAAGATCTGCTGAGCGAGTGGGAGCCAGCTGTGTGCACTGAAGAGAAACAAGTGGAACAAACCCACACCAGGGCCTGGTGCGGTGCAGCCAGCCCGTGCCCTTTACAGATGTTTGTGTCACGGAAAACAAAGCAAGGAACTGCTCCAGATTAAAGGGAACCAAAGAGACATGACAGCTAAACGCAATTGGAGATCCCGGACTGGGGCGGGTATGGACAGGGGGTGCTACAAAAGCCATTACTGAGACATTTGGAAAAATTTGAATGTGGCCTTTATATCAGATAAAGGAATTGATGCTAAATTTCCTGAATTGGATCACTGAACCTGTTTCCAGGAGAAACACACTAAAGTATGTGGGATAAAGGATAATAATGCCTACAATTTACTCTCAAATAGTAGAGCAAAAATTAGTAATAATTTTAATTTTTTTTTTTTTTGAGACAGAGCCTCAAGCTGTCCTCCTGGGTAGAGTGCCGTGGCATAGCTCACAGCAACCTCCAACTCCTGGGCTCAAGTGAGTCTCCTGCCTCCACCTCCCAAGTTGCTGGGACCACAGGCGCCCGCCACAACACCTGGCTATTTTTTTTTAAGTTGCAGCCATCATTGTTGTTTGGCAAGCCCGGGCTAGATTCAAACCCGCCACCTTAGGGTTTGAGCCGTAATAGTAATAATTTTAAAGAGAAAAACAAGGCATACCAGGCAGAGGGACCCAGATGTACAAAGGTCCTGAGGCAAGAAAGAGCTCATCCTGCTGAAGACAATCAAGCAGAAAAGCCAGTGACCCGAGCAAGGGAGACAGGGCACAAATTGAGGAGGGGACATTATTTGAACACCTGAGTACAGGAGCTAAATCAGGTAGAGTCTTAGGAGACTTCCCTGGCCCAGGCAGGAGATGATGGTAGCCTAGAACAATGGTGCTGGCGTGGAGATGGTGAGAAAGGATGCAGCTGAGGATTATTTTGGAGTGTGAGGTGCTTGTGAAGCATCCAAGTAGGTCATTGCATCCTCAGCATCCAGTTCAGTAAAGGACAATGAGTGAGTGGACTGCAGCAGGCAGGCTCCACACTTCCTCCATTGGGACTGTAATTATGACTCGCCCTGGCCCAAGCTTCAACTCCAACCCCATCTCCTGCCAGCCCAGAAGCACAAACTGCAGTGCTGCCTGCCTCATTCCCCAAACAGAATGGCAACGTCCCAGAGGAGTCCCAGAGGAAACCAGCCGGTGACCATGGCAACAGCTGAGCCTCAGACTGGAACCAGCTAGGTGCAATCCATAGGGTGGGGCCAGCTATTGCTCAAAGTGGGGGGGATGTCCACTCATCACACCTTCCCAACTCTGGCCTCAGTTTCAAGGAGTGGAAAGTTCTTAATGTGTTCTGACCAAAAAAAGGGAAAGAAGGAATGAAAAGGAAGGAGGGAAGGAAGGGAAGGGAACAGAGGAAGAAAAAAAGACAAAAGAGAAAAGCCCAAAAGCCCAGTGTGGGGAAAGCAGGAGACAGATAAAGGGACCCCCCAGCCTTCACTCGCCTCCTTCTCCATAAATCTTTGCCGTCCCCAGACACAGAGAGCAGAAAAGATGTTGGTTTGGGATTCTGTCCTCTCCGCTGCAAACAGGCAATGGGATCTCTTAGACCAGCCACCTCCACTTCACACACACACCCCTACTGTCCTCACTTTGCCCCCACCCATCCCTGTGAGGCACACAAGGAACTTGGGCACCTCTGTGGTGAGAGCTGTAGATTAACAACCGTGAAGTGGGAATATGGGCAGTGGGGAGGGACTCAGGGCTCACAGCCACCAAACCGCCTCAGTATCCGGAACCCTCTCCACATCCACCCTGGATCTTGGTCCTCAGCAGCTACAAGGTCATCCTATGTGACTCCAGTGCAGGCCGCAGTGCCTTGTGGAAGCCACCTGAGACCCTAAGCCAGCGCAGCCCCCTGCCCATGCCTGATGCACATTCCCCGCCCTGCGCTGCCAGTTAGCTCTGTCTGCCGCCCCACTGGTCGCACGCCCCACCCAGCCTGCCATACTCACGCTCTGATCCTCGTCCTCGCCCCGCACGTGGTCCGCAATGAAGCGCACACCATCCACTGCCTCCTTGAGGCCACAGCCACACAGGCCACCACAGTGTCCTGGGCCAGACGTCGACCCAGGCTCAGCTCCGAAGGCCCCAGCCAAGCCCTGGACCGTGGCACGGTTGACAAAGCATGTGCAGGAGTCGGCCCCGGGGGCCTCGCGGAAGAGCAGGGCACCCGCTCCCTCACGCTCGCGCTGGCGGCGCCGCAGGCGCAGACGCTGCCGGGCGCAGCGGGGACGTGGCTGCTGCATGAAGAGTAGCGCGGGCAGCTTCTCCAGGAAGAGGACCTTCACCCAGGGCGCCATGGTGTGAGTGGTGGGCGAGCGGTGGTGCACATTCAGTACGCACACGCTGGTGACTATGGAGAAGGTGACGAGCACCATGGTGAACATGAGGTACTTGCCAACAAGTGGCACGTCCAGTGAGGTGGGCGGCACAATCTTGGAGATGAGCAGCAGGAAGACAGTGAGCGCCAGCAGCACTGAGATGCACAGCGTCATCTTCTCACCGCAGTCCGATGGCAGGTAGAAGACCAGGATGGCCAGGGAGGTGATGAGCACGCAGGGGATGATGAGGTTGATGGTGTAGAAGAGTGGCTTGCGGCGGATGATGAAGTCATACGTGATGTCCACATAAGTGGAGTCGTCAGGGTTCTCATTGCGCCGGCCGGGCAGGGCCACGATGTCCCACTCACCGCTGGGGGTGAAGTCATCCAGGCTGGCCACCTCGCTTTTGAGTACCAGGTCAATCTCGGTGCGGTCATATGTCCATGAGCGGAACTTCATGGTGCAGTTCTGCTGGTCAAACGGGAAGTGCTTTACTTCGATCTTGCACGCGCTCTTGTAGATGGCCGGGGGCAGCCAGAAGATGCTGCCGTCATAGGAGACCACGGCATTGGAGTAGAAGGACACCTCATACATGCCATCAGCACTGCCAAAGGTGGGCACCGTCAGCCCTGACCTGAGCACTCATCCCCCCCCATCAACCCCCCTGAGGAGGAGGAAAAACACCAATCAACTCATCCCCACCCATCAACCCACCCTGAGGGGGAGGAAAACCAGAGGGAGATATGGGACTGGGGGAGGGATAAAGAGCCATCAGGAGGATGGAGAGTGAGGCAGGAACTAGGCAAGAAGGGATAGGGGTGGGTTCTTGGCCAAAAGTGTCCTGGTCAGGAGGCCTCTGTGGCCTCACAGGTAGAAGAGGGTGGACAGAAGAAGGAGGACATGCCTGCTACTTGTCACACACTGTGTAAGCTGGTTTGCTCCTCATGAGGGCAGAGAAGTTTGGGAAGCCAGGAGGCCAGAATGAGAAGTCCCAAGAAATGGAGGGGTACAGGAGTGGGGCAGGGTCCCATCAGTTGAGGGAGGTGGTTTTGTGCCTTAGCCGTGAGGAGGATTATTGCAGAAGATAGGATAGTCGTTGGAGGAGCCTTCTGGGAAAGTCTATTCTTAGTCAGACACGGAGGCAACTGGTCTGGTTTCTGTCCCTACTACAGCACCAGATACATACTGGGAGTCCTAGTTGTCTGAGTGGGAGCTGGTCATGATCCAAGTGACTATGGGTGTCCATACCATACCTTACTTCCCTAATCTGTCTGTCTGGGGAATGACTGCATGTTTGTCTTTTAAAAAGTCCCTTCCCTGGGCCAGCCCTGGTGGCTCACTCCTGTAATCCTAGAACTCTGAGAGGCTGAAGTGGTGGATTGCTTCAGCTCAGAAGTTTGAGACCAGCCTGAGCAAAAGCAAGACCTTGTGTCTACTAAAAATAGAAAAACTGAGGCAGGAGGATAGCATGAGCCCAAGAGTTGGAGGTTGCTGTGAGCTATGACACCACAGCACTCTGTCTAGGGCAATAGCTTGAGATGCTGTCTTAAAAAAAAAAAAGTGCCTTCCCTTACACAGCATAAGCTAATTTCTATTATTCTCTCCAAGACTCTTTTCCTTATGAGCATTCCCATGGTCTCTCTCAATGTTCCCGTTACTCCAGGCCACCTACTTGTTATACAGGACTACATCTGGGAGCCAGATGTGTTTGGAAGGGAGCCGAACTTTCTTCATATTGTCAAACTCCTCAGGCTTCCAAGCAAGGCGGTAATCCTCCCACTCCTGAGAAAAGGAGAGAGGGAGGCAATGCAAACCTCAAGAAGGAGGACAAGAAAGGACCCATGTGGCTTGAGGAAACTTTTAGAAAGCCAGCCTCCTCCCCACAGTGACTTATCTGTCCACCAGGTATGGCAAATTCAGTACTTTCTCATTTAATTTGTACAGATATGCCAAAGTACTAGAACCTGCCTTTTACAAATTAAAAAAATAAGTAAATAAAGAAGCTTGCAAAATCTAAAATGTTTAAAGTTACAGAGCTAGGGAGTGGCAGAACCAAGATTCAAACCCAAATATTTAGGACTCCCAAGTCTGTACCTTTCTGCCTCTCTTGAGAAGGCTGAGAAAGAAAAGGCATGTGCAAAATAAATAAATAAATAGAAGGAAAAAGAAAGCCAGGGATATAGAGAGAAGAGGACTTACCTGGGTCAGCCAGACGTTGGTGGTCATGATCTGCTCCCGCTCATGCTATGGGAAAGAAGAGAAGCTGCTAGGAAGGCACCCCAGCCTACGGGTCCATTGTCACCACCCAGGGTCCCTCTCACACTTTTCTGAGCCTTGGAAACACCAGAGGAGTAAACACAAACATTAACATGCTCTAGCTGGAATGACTTCAGTAGCTGGGCAGAGAGTGCGGGACCTTCACTCACCACACTGATGAGCTGGGCCAGTGAAACCATAAGCTGTACTGTCACCAGCTCAGAGCCATTGGTAGCTGGGCGGATGAGCTTATTGTAGCGGGAAGGATCCAGGAGATGCTCCACCAGCCGCTCCTCTGTATCTGTACCCCACACCACTGGGCAAGAGGAAGATAAGAAGTAAACAAGGAAGGCCCAACCAGCTCCCACCCTGCCCAGGCAAGTGACATAATCCAGGCTGAACCAGTAACTTTCTATGCAACCACCCTAAGGATCCTGCAAATGCTTAGGTACCCCATGGAGGACCCACTTTAAGACCCTGATAGAAAAGCCCCTCTCTGAGAAGAATCACCAATAATTCCACACAGTGACGCCTCCAGACTAAACTTAACTCTGCAAGGATTGTGGAGACCTGCTCTCCCTGCAAGGTCTCAGAGCATGGTTTAAGATTTCTGCTTCCCCAGCAAATACTTATGATTCAAAGGGTGTTTTGGAGGATGGTGAAAGGGAGTCATCTGTGTCACGCCGCACACCCCTTCTCCTCAATCAGCGCCCATTCATATGTGACTGAGGCCACAACACCAATCTCACTACCCCCAAAGGCACTGGGTTGGAGTAGAACAGCTGCCTGCCTACAGGGTGGGTCAGGACATATATTTAGCCCCAAGTTCTATACATACAGGAGCCCATGCCCATGTGATGGCACACGGGTATGGAAAGGTCACTCAGTTGCACATGCCCTTTGCATGTGCCCTTCCACACATTCCATGCCCTTCTACAACTTTGCACCAACACACTCCTCCCCACTCACTAGGCTCCTTCCTAGTCAGCCTGGCAGAGGTCTTCCCTGCAAGGTCTCCTGTCCTACCCACCCTACAAGAGAACTGAGAAATCAGTTCTCTCCCCTTCCTGCCTTGCCTCTGTGGATGGACCAGGATAAGGAACCCATTGTAAGGGATGGGAAATGGGGTGCTGAACCAGGTAGATTTCTTGAGATAATGTTTCACAAGACATCAAGTGGCATCTCAGTGTTTTCCGAGTTGGCCTTCCCGGCACTCCTGGGGAAATCCCCTTTCTTCTTCCTCTCTGGGCCCACACCCTCCCACCACCACTGGCAGGTTTCCACTTCTTTGTACTGCTTACTCCTTCAGGTATGTCACCGTCCCAGTTCAGTTTCCTAGGTGCTCCTTGCAATCCTGAGGGTCTCTCTCCTGACTCCCCACAGACTCCTCCACCTCTAGGGAATCCTTCCTTCCACCTTCCAGCCTAGCAGGAGTGAGTCAGAGCGTGGAGAATCTTGGGCCATTGGCCAGGGCGGGAGAACCTAGCCGGTGACCGCCCTTACCTGAGCATAGCCCGAGGAGGCCCAAGCTGAGGAGCAGCGCCATGGGGCCCGACCGCCGGGCCATGCCGCGGGCATAGCTCGCCGCCTGCACCTGCTCGAGCGCGCCGCGGGCGGGAGGGCCGCGGGCGGGCGCTGTCCACGGTGCTGAAACCGTGCCCGCCCGCTGCCGGCCTGGGCAGTGTCAGCCGCCGCAGCGGTGTCTGCAGCTCCAGGAGCTGTGAGGAGAGACCAGCTGTTCTCCAACCCCACTTTGAGCAGGCGGAGGCTTTTCCAGCTGCTCTTCCAGGGAATACAGTCGGACCGGTGAGGGGGAGGAGTCTCCGCCCCGGAGGCGGAAACACTGATTCCCAGGAGAAGCGGGGTGGGGCTGGGCGGGGGGGGGCGGGGGGTCCTTGGGCGGGGATTCTCTGGACAGCTGGCACGTTCGCGAGCAGCAGGAGGGCTGCCCCGCTGGGGATCGTAGAGGCGTCCTGGGGCCGTGAAGTTGGGGCAGGATCTGGAAGGGTCGTAGAAGGTGGGGGGTGAGGGGAGATCAGCAGGTCAGGACCTGCTCCCCCACAGGCCCAAAAGGAGGAGATGGGATGGGAGGCAGGAGGCGGGTTCCCGCCCTCCTTTTTTTTCTTACCAAACCAAATGTTCCTGGCTGAGGATGTAGACAGAAAAAAATGCATTTTAGGTTCTTAAAGAAGCAGACAAGAGAGTGTAGGTTTGCTATTTTAAGAAACCAAATAGCTCTGGAGTCTTGGGAACATAGTCTTCTCACTTGCGCCCTTTTCTATCCTCAGTCCCTAAAAGGCCAAGCGTCCTGCTATCCCATCCCACCAGGAGAGGGTAGGGTGTCTGAGCTGAAGAGGTCTGGAGTTTATCTCAAAAGAAAGTAACCTGGATGGTCTGGAATCATGGAAAGATGAGCAGCCCATATCAGTTGGGCTTTCTCATTCCCATTCTCTTCCACTCCAGTTGTTGGCTCCTATGTGATCAGGGAGAGCTCAGAGGATGCCTGCTCTAGAATGAAGCTCACAGAAAGGGCAAGATGAGATCCTTGGGCCAAGAGAGGCCCCTCTTTTTTCTTAAGTAGGCTTATTGTCTCTTTCTTTCCTTTCTTTCTTTTTTTTTTTTTTTGTGAGACAGTCTCACTTTGTTGCCCTGGGTAGAGTGCTGTGGTGTCACAGCCCACAGCAACCTCAGCTCCTGGGCTTAGGCAATTCTCTTGCCTCAGCCTCCTGAGGAGCTGGGAGTACAGGCACTTGCCACAATGCTCAGCTTTTTTGTTGTAGTTTGGGATGACTTTTTTTTTTTGCAGGTTTTGGCCAGGGCTGGGTTTGAACCTGCCACCTCTGGTATATGGGACCAGTGCCCTACCCCTTTGAGCCACAGGCGCCTCCCTTTTGTTGCAGTTTGGCCAGGGCCGGTTGGAACCTGCCACCCTCGGTATATGGGGCCGGTGCCCTACTCACTGAGCCACAGGCACTGCCCTTATTGTCACTTTCAATCAAAAGATTTCTGACTAAAGCAGACTTATCCTACAGAAAGGCACGGTGGCTCTCACCTTAATTCCTAGCACTTTAGGAAGCTGAGGCGGAAGGATGACTTGAGCTCAGGAGTTCTAGACCAGCCTGAGCAACAGTGAGGCCCTTTCTCTACCAAAAGAAAAAATAAGCTGAGCATAGTGATGTGTACCTGTAGTTCCAGCAACTCAAGAGGCTGGAGCAGGAGGACCACTTGAGCCCAGGAGTTTGAGGTTACAGTGAACTATGATGATGCCACTGCTCTCTAATCTGAGGAACAGAACAAGACCCTCTCTCAAAAGAAAAAAAAAGGGTGTGTGTGTGTGTCTGTCTTATTCCATCTCTGTCCACTTCTCCTACCTCATATGGTCACTCTACCCCCAACTCCAAACTCAACTATTGGCCATGTCTTTAAGATTCTTAAACAATCTATTCTTTCCCACACTTCAAAGACTTTTGACAGGAATGTCAGTTCTTTAAGGAAGCTATGCCTGACCAAAGACTAGGCCAGGTACCCTGTAATGTTTCCAGAGCATATCCAATAAATAAATGAATCCATCTATGGTAGAAGATTCCTCTCCAACTAGACTATAAGGCTCAGCGCCTGCAGTTCAGTGGCTAGGGCAATAGCCACATACACCAGAGCTGGCAGGTTCAAATCCAGCCCAGGCCTGCCAAACAATAGTGACAACTACAACAAAAAAATAGCTGGGTGTTGTAGTGGGCCCCTGTAGTCTCAGCTACTTGGGAAGCTAAGGCAAGAGAATCTCTAAAGCTCAAGAGTTTGAGGTTGCTGTAAGCTATGACACCACAGCACTCTACCCCAGAGCAACATAGTTAGACTAAAAAAAAATAATAATAATAAAAATCTACATTGGCTTGGTGCTCATAGCACAGTGGTTATGGCGCCAGCCACATACATCAAGGCTGGTGGGTTCGAACCCAGGCCAGCTGAACGACAATGACAACTGCAACAACAACAAATAAATAGCTGGGCACCTGTAGTCCTAGCTACTTGGGAGGCTGACACAAGAGAATCGGTTAAGTCCAAGAGTTAGAGGTTGCTGTGAGCTGTGACACCACAGCACTCTACCAAAAGTAACATAGTGGGACTCTTGTCTCAAAAAAAAAATTATGAACCACACAGTACCCACCAAGTCATAAGGGCGCAACAGATAAGGAAAAGGGCCAGTATAGGACATCTTCTAATGCATAAAAGGAAATTCCTCAGCTAAAAGCAACTATTTAACCTGTCCCCAGATCATGGACTTAAGAGGAAGAAACAGGGCAAGTTCCAGAAAATATTGAAGAAGCAGGATGACTAAGGCCCCATTATTCACATAGAAATAGGCATCAATCTGCGCCACTAGCTCCAGGGCACGTGCACATGCACTACCTGATAATCTCCTGGAAATCTTGGAACCAAGAAAATGAGTGGGGAATAAAAGCCTTAAGGAAAAGGAAAGGAGTACATGTGCAGCTCCTCTACTTGGGGAAAAAGGTCAAGGCTGAGAAGACCCCCTTCCAAAAATTTAGATAAAGATTTTTGGAGCACCTATTTGCCAGGTATTGTACAGGTATTAGGGAGGCAGTGGGGAAAGACTGTGTCAGCTATTAAGGTGATTGCAAATTATTATATAATGTGGCGGTTGTTCTAGAAGAGATGAAAACAAGGTGTTACAGAAGCACAGAGGATGAACAGGTTAATAATGCTTGAGGGCCTAAAACTTCAGACTTGAAAGGAAGACAAGGATGACTTAAAGGCATTTCAAACACTTGGGAAGGACAAGGAATTTGGGTGGATGCAGGGTGATGAGGAAGGCTGTGGAAGTCTTCTCTCAGGAAAATCTTTTTTTTTTTTGGCTGGGGCTGGGTTTGAACCCCCTACCTCTGGCATATGGGGCCAGCGCCCTACTCCTTTGAGCCACAGGCGCTGCCCAGGAAAATCTTTCTCTGGAGTGGTCACTTGTTTTTGAAATGAGGGAGTGACCAGTCATGTGCTCATGTAAAGCCTCTGGTTGCTGCCTGATGCTCTTTTCAAGCCAGTCTTTTCTACATTCTCTTCAAATTCCCCAGCTTTTACTTTTAAGTTTACTTCCAGACTGGCAGGAGTGAGTTTTCTGAGCACAAACACCCAATGTCTAGGGTGCGTGTGAAGATTCACCGTCATGTCTCCCCCCACATACTCCTTCCATACCAAGAAAGGGAATGGTGGGGAGTGGGGAGGACACAGGGTATTGGACCTATGTCCAATACCACACAGGGTATTGATATAGAAGCATCAGTCCTGAGACTAAATAATAACTGGCCGAAGTTTTGGTGGGACCTTCCATTGTCTCTGATAAGAAATGTTTTCTCTTCAAAGGCTCGAAATCAATGTTGTTTAATTTAATCTCAGATTAATATGGAAATACATACACTTAGGTTACACAGTTTGCTTTTGTAAGGTTAAAGTCCCAGTTGTAGTAGTGTCCGTCACCCAAGAAGTGCACAGTGTATCCATGTAATGTACCTGTTGGATATGAATTTACCCAACCCCTTCCCCCCAACTTGAATTTCACTGAGTTTTTCTCACATGTAAGCATGCAGATGTTAGTCTGCTAGGTCCAATCTAGTACTGAGCACGTGTGATTCTTGTTTTTCCATTCTTGTGATACTAAAATCAGTGTTGTTGTCTTTTATTTAAAATGTTTTAAATTAAAAAATGTTATGACCAAAGCAGACATGTGTTCATAAAGACCAACTGGAAACCAAGTTACCAAAACAAAGCAAGTACAAACTGGATTCATAATCGTGCCTTCTAAGGGAAAAAAAATCAGTTAGCAAAAATATACAAACACCCATCTCTGAATTTATCTATCTGTATAATTTTGATATAACATTCACGCAGGAAAGTACACACATCGTAAGTGCATAGGTAGATACATTTTCACAACATAAACCCAGTCATAGGGGAGGCCAAGGTGGGAGGATCACTTGAGGACAGGATTCAAGACCATCCTGGGTAAAAACAAGACCTTGTATCTAGAACAAATAAAAAAATTAGCTGGGAATGGTGGTGGGCACCTCAGCTACTCGGAAGGCTGAGGCAGGAGGATCACTTGAGCCCTAGAGTCTGAGAATGCTGTGAGTGATGATAATGTCACTGCACTCCAGCCTAGGCAACAGACACCCTTTCTCAAAAATACGTAAATATACATACACCCAAGGTGGCAGGTTCGAATCTAGCCCGGGCCCACCAAACAATGACAGCTGCAACCAAAAAATAGCCGGGCGTTGTGGTGGGCGCCTGTAGTCCCAGCTACTTGGGAGGCTGAGGCAGGAGACTCACTTGAGCCCAGGAGTTGGAGGTTGCTGTGAGCTGTGATGCCACGGCACTCTACCCAGGGGGACAGCTTGAGGCTCCTGTCTCAAAAAAAAAAAAATACGTAAATAAACCCCGCCATATAATCCCCACCCAGATTTTTTTGTTTGAGACAGAGCCTAACCTGTCCCCCTTTAGTGCAGTGGTGTCATAGCTCACAGCAACCTCAAACTCCTGGGCTTAAGTGATCACTACAGGCACCCGCCACAGATGCCCACCTCAATGTCCAGCTATTTTTAGAGGTGGAGTCTTATTGTAGCTCAGGCTGGTGTTGAACCCGTGAGCTCAGATGATCCACCCATCTCGGCCTTCCAAGTGCTGGGATTACAGGCGTGAGCCACCATGCCTGGCCCAGATTTTTTTTTTTAAAGGAACATGAAGGATTTTGTGTCCTTCCCATTTGTTATTCCCTCTTCTTCAAAAGTAACTGTGTTGTGGGAGGGAG